CTCGTCCTCCTCCTCCTCCTCCTCCTCCTCCTCCTCCTCCTCCTTCTCGGGCGGGGGCCAACTAGACGTAAGAGTGACCCTTTGCCAGGATGACCTCTGGTGCAGGCTCATCGGGGCCCCCCCGACCGATCGCCGATCGCTATGCGATAGTAGCGTCTTGCGCGCTTGGGTTTGGCCCCCCCCCCCCGCGCCCTCCAAAAGCCGCGCACCAACGGCGACTCTAACCCAGGGTCACTTCTGCGTGTAGCCGAGGGAGGGGGGGGGATCCGAGGTCCTTGCCTGGGCAGGCCTCCGCCAGGCGGGGGTGGTCCGAGGCCCTTGCCTGGGCATGCCTCCGCCAGGCGGGGGGGGGGGATCCGAGGCCCTTGCCCCAGTCAAGCCGTGCATCCATGAAGGACGCGTGGGCAGAGAGCGCGATCAAAATTGGCGGCGAGCCCGGGGGGAAGTGAGAAGGGGCGGGCTTTCTCAGAAGGCTCGGAAGTCCCCCAGCCTTCTGAGAAGTTCGCTGCGGAGAGCCCACAGCTTCGGCGGGCAAGGACGGCAACGGGGGGGGACCTCGGCAGCGAGCACGAGCCGGCCCATTCCCCAAGGGATGCACATTGTTCATGTCGACTTCTTCGAAAGTTCTTTGCTTTTTGGGGGGCCAAGATCCTTTCATTTCTAAGTGTTCTATCTTGGGCCTCTTCCTGGCCATTAGGGGGCCAGGAACAATTAGAAGCGAGCGCAATTAGAAATGGGCACGATTAGAAATGAACGACGTGTACACTTTTCTGGAGGTCATGAGTGACCTCTGCCAGACCCGCCCCAACTGGCGGTAGTGCAGCAGGAGCTTCCTTGGGCATTGAGGAGTTGGCTCAGGTGGCGGAAGCGGAAGGAGCCTTCTGCACGAAGAGAGCCGAAGAGCATGGCAAGTCTGCGGAAGAACACCCTAAACAGCTCCACACATGTACGACGGGGGCCACAATGGGGGATCACGATCGGGGGCCACGACTGGGCGCCACGATAGAAAGATCGGATTAGGTGCAGGGGTAGGGATAGGGATAGGGAGATAGGGCTCGGGATATATGGATAGGCAGATAGGGAGAGGGATCGGGGTGGGGATGGGGATCGGGATCTACGACAAGGAAAGGGATGAAAGGGATAGGGGCATCAATAGGGACACAGGGGTACGGACACGGATTCGGATAGACAATGGGAGACGACGGGAGACTATGGCAGACAATGAGAGACAACGGGAGATACTTGGAGACAATGTGGAGGCAATGGGAGACAATGAGAGGCAACGGGAGACCTGTGGAGACAACGGGAGTCCACTTCGCCCGCCCGATTCCCGATCCGGCAGTCCATGTTTCTGAGCTTCCTGCAAAAGTGAAAGAATTTACAGACAAGCGCAAGCATCAACATACAAGCAGAAAGTTACACGAAGCTTCGCGCTGATGTCTTGGATCTTCGCTGGGCCCCCCTGGCGGCGCCTCCGGCGCCAGGGAGGGGGGTCCAGCGTCGATCCAAGGAATCCGCGCGGGCCTCAGACAGTTTCTGTTGGTGCCGTTTCTTCTTCTCACTCTTCTAAAGAAGGGGCCCGCGGGGGGGTCCTGAGGCGTTGCTCAGTTATCGGCCTCTTCGAAGCCCTCCCTGGGCCCCGGGGCCGCCCACGCAACGACTCGGGATGAAGGAGCCCAGGGCGGAATCCCCGTGACCCTTGAGGCCTTGATGACCGATGCAGTCGGATTCCCTCCTGTCGGTTCGCATTGAAGCAGTGTCTGGCGGTCTGCGCAGCAGTGGCCTTCTCCCTTGTTCCACTCTCCCCTGCTGACAGTAAACTCTCCTGGCAGATGTCCCTCCGAGGGGTGCGGCGGAAATGTATATTTCACTGTGGGGTTTCACCGTGAGCTTCGCAGCCAGAATATGCATTTCACAACGGGGCCGCTTGTCAGTCCATGCAGGTGGGACTGGACAGTTGGGACCAATTGTCAAAGGCACATTCCCATTGCCCCGGTGGGAGGGCATACGGCCAATTCAGTCTCCTGTCACATTTATATGGCCACTGTGCCCTTTGGGAGACGCTGGACAGGTGTGCCCCGCTGTCAAATGTACATGTCCACTTTGCTCGCCTCGGGCATATTGAACACTAGACCATGCTGTCGGCAGGGCTTACTCATTAAAATGGGAGGTCCAGAGGAAGGGAAGGGTGACATCTCACACGCCGATGACACCCCAAGGAATCGGTTCATGTTGGCCATTTGTGTCCAATGTAGCATGTATTCCTGGATTCCCCCGAAGGCGTGATATTCACGTGCGCTCTAGCTGAAGTCAGAAGCGCATCTGCAAAACACTTCCTGAACATACTATATCCGTTTCTTTTTCCATATACATCTACATATATGTATGTATCTCTGAAGGCCTTCAGAACCATCCAAAGCTTCCAGAGAGGTCAAGAAGCCCATCCCTCCATATCCCCCTCCTTCACCCTCGACGATAACGACCACGACGACGACGACGACGACGACGACGACGACGACGACGACGACGACGACGACGACGGCGGCGGCGGCGGCGGCGATGATGACGACGAGGAACCGGCGCCGGTGGGGGCGCCGCAGGCAGCTCGGCGCTTGCGGTGCGGCTCGTGCGCCGGCAGCTTGACTGGGAGGCGCGGACGCTGCAGAGGACCCCTAAGGAGGAGGAGGAGGAGGAGGAGGACCAGGAGGAGAACCAGTGCAAACCTAAGGTTCATCAACGATATTGCAATAAGCCCTCCCTCCAAGTTCCCTCTTCACAGGCCCCTGCAAGTGTTCAGTTTCACTGAGGGAAGTGCCCCGTTGGAAGGCAACCGTCTGAAACTCGCGAACTGTGCCAGAACACCATTTCTGGGACTTCAGCGCCGCGAATCAACGCTACTGTTGAATATTGACGATCCTGACTCGTGCCAGAACACCTTTATCAGAATTTCAACACCACGAATCAACGTAACTGTTGCGCCCTGACAGTATGCCAAAACACCGCTTCGGGGACGTTAGCCATGGAAATCCTTAAAATTGCTTGTAACTCTTAAAACGAATGCGCGCGGCACTAAAGCGAGAACCACACTTTGAGAAGGAACCACCCTCTAATCGCGAAACTTGGGCAACGTGTTAAGAGAATGTGCGCGGCGCTAAGGCGAGAGTCACATTTTGGAAGTGGTCCGCCCTCCATCCGTAAAACTTTTTGCAAATTTCTAAAACGTATGATCGCGGCGCTTAGACGAAAGCTAAAAAACACCCGCCTTCTATCCGCGAAACTCTTGCGTTTTCTAAGACGACGAATGTGCGCAGCGCTAAGGCGAAAACCACATGTTTGAAACCGCCCCCCTCCATCCGTGGAAATTTTGACAAATGGTGGGGAAGTCCCAGGCGAAACGCCCCGCCCGCCCTACCGACACGCGTCCGGGGTGCGACAGGGAGGAGTTAATTATATGAGGGAAAAGAATGGAGGAGGAGGGAGGAGGGAAAATGGAGGAGGAGGAGGAGGAGGCGGAAGAGGAGGAGGGAGGAGGGCGGAGGGATGAGGGAGGAGGGAGGAGGGAGGAGGGAGGAGGGAGGAGGAGGAGGAGAAGGAGGATTACCGGGTGCGATGGGCGAGAGAGCGCATGCGAACCTCCCCACCGGGTTCGCAGCTTGCCTCCCTTGTGGGGCTCGATCCGTGTAAGGAGTGTGCTGAAATGGGCGAGTGGGCGCATGCGAGCTCTCCCACAGGGGTCGCAAGTGGAGCTCCCCAGGATGCACATAGGGCGCGATCCGTGTGAGGGGTGGGCAGCTGCAGCTGGCAGCGGCTGAACGGCAGCGCAGTGTCAGCGTGAAGCGGGCAGCGCAGCAGCAGCAGCGGGAAGTGGAGGAGAGAGGCGGGTGTGTGCAACGAGGGGCTTGGCGCGAGGCGTCCTCCTTGTCATGAGACAGGACTGGATCTAAACGGTGTTTTTGGTGATTTCGTGGGCCGTTTTCGTTTCGACTTTGTTTTGCAGCAAAGGCGGATTGGAGACAAAGGCGAGGGAAAAGGAAAACAACACGAAGACGAAAAACACCGTTTAGGTTCAGCCCTGTTTAATGAGAAAGAGACTACGGCAATAAAGAATCGCCATGAAGTGAGGCCTGCCCGAGAACGCGCCCGTAGAGGGAGCGAGGGTGGCCCCTAGGGGCAGGCGAAAGGGAGCGCTTCTACGCGAAGGATCGCACAGGCAAGTTCACGAAGCTTGGGCAGCAAAGACATGACAGCTCAAGCGGTGCACCGAGGCGAAGAAAGACCAGCACCACACGCTCGGCAGCAGACCAGGAACAACCCCGGCTAGTAGGGCATTTTCGGCGCACACCGACGTCGACAACGACGAGCACGACGACCGCGAGGACCTAGAGGAGGAGGAGGAGGAGGAGGAGGAGGAGGAGGAGGAGGAGGAGGAGGAGGAGGAGAGGACAGCAGGCCGTTGCTCACAGAGCCGCCTTGAGGCGATCGAAGCGAAGGGACGCATGCTCCTTGCAGGGCCGCGCGTGGCACAGCTCCAGGGGATGGTGGCTGCGACCCGGGCGCGTCCGGACGGGCGCGAGCAGAGCTCGGGGCCCCCAAACGGGGTGGTGACCACACCGTGTGGTGAGTCGGTGGGGATTCGGGGTCACCTCACGGTTTTGGGACTCGAGTCCCTCTCCGAGGACGTCTCGGGCGACTGGGGCATCCGAGATCCCAAAACCGTGCGTTGACGGACCGTGCGGTGAGGTCTTGGGGGATTTCGAGGTCACCGCACGGTCTGTCGCCGCACCGTTTCGGGACTCCAGAAGAGTTCAGGGAATTGACGATTGATCTGATCGACAGGGTGAACAACATCAACAGGGCGCACAGCATCTTGTGAGCCGGCCCCGCCGGCCCAGGCCCTCACTCTGCCCAAATCCTTTTCTCTCAATTGTTGTACCTCGGGATTGCAGGAACGTCGGACGGGGCCAGGACTAAGGCAGATCTGTCCCAGAGCGTCCCGGCACGCTCTCGGAGAGCTCGGGACGCTCTGAGAAGGCCGCGGCGCCCGAAAGGTCCTCCAGAGCCGCCAGATCTCAGAGGCTCTCGCGTTTCTTCCTGGCCCGAGGTTTTGTCCTCGTCCTGGCTTCGTCTAAGCAGGCCAGGCGGACTCTTCTTGCGACCCCCCCCCCGAAACGGAGGCCAGCCCCCCTGGCGCCATCGGAGGGCCTCCAAGGCCGCAGGCGGCGGGCGCCCGAGCGCGGGCGCCGGGGACCCGCTGAGTCGGGCTGCTGCGGCGGGAGGAGGAGGAGGAGGAGGAGGAGGAGGAGGAGGAGGACGAGGAGGAGGAGGGGGAGGAGGAGGAGGAGGAGGAGGGAGGAGGAGGGGGAGGAGGAGGAGGAGGAGGAGGAGGAGGAGGAGGAGGAGGAGGAGGAGGAGGAGGAGGAGAGGAGGAGGAGGAGGAGGAGGGGGAGGAGGAGGGGGGGAGGAGGAGGAGGAGGAGGAGGAGGAGGAGGAGGAGGGGGAGGAGGGAGGGGGGAGGAGGAGGAGGAGGAGGACGAGGCGAGGAGGAGGAGGAGCAGGAGGAGGAGGAGGAGGAGGAGGAGGAGGGAGGGGGGGGGGGAGGGGAGGGGGGAAGAGGAGGAGGAGGAGGGAGGAGGAGGAGGAGGAGGAGAGGGGGAGGTAGGAGGAGGAGGAGGAGGAGGAGGGAGGAGGAGGAGGAGGGGAGGAGGAGAGAGGAGGAGGAGGAGGACGAGGAGGACGAGGAGGAGGAGGAGGAGGACGAGGAGGAGGAGAGGAGGACGAGGAGAGAGAGGAGGAGAGGAGGAGGAGGGGAGGACGAGGAGGAGAGAGGAGGAGGCGGAGGATGAAGAAGAGAAAGAGGAGAGAGGAGGGGAGGAGAGAAGGAGGAGGAGGAGGAGGAGGGGAGGAGGGGGGAGGGGGGGAGAGGAGAAGGAGGAGGAGGAGGAGGAGGAGGAGGAGGGGAAGGAGGGGGAGGAGGGGGGAGGGAGGGTCGAGGATCGAGGGGCCCTTGAATCCTCTGCGCCTGGCTCCCGCAGGGGAAGAGGACGAGGTGGAGGGCGGAGGAGGCGGCGGCGGCGGCGGCGGTGGCGGAGGAGGAGGAGGAGGAGGAGGAGAAGGAGGAGGAGGGGGAGGAGGAGAAGGAGGGGGAGGGGGAACCCCCAGATCCTCTGCGCCTGGCCCCCGCCCCGCGCCCCAGGATTGTCCGCAGGGGCTGCCGCTCCCTAGACGCGGACTGGGCCGAGGCCTGGCGCCGCTTCTGCAGGTCGCGGCGCGCGTCTCCGGACCTGCTGCAGGCGGCTCGGGAGGGGGTGGGGCGGGGGGGGGAGAGGCCCGGGAGGGGGTGAGGAGGCAGGTCTCCACTCTCTAGGCCTCCCGGGTGGGGTCGGAGTAGATGGGGTCGGAGGATCGCGCCGCATCGTCGATGCATCCACGATGCGGCTCGATGTGGAGCCCGATCTTCTCCACGCTGGCGTCGCCGATGTATCGCCGATATCGCCGATGCATCGCCGATGTATCGGCGATGCGGCACGATCCTCCGACCCCATCTACTCCGACCCCATCTAGGACCGAGCATGTTCTCTGGGTGGAGGGCAAAGGGTGAAATCTGAAATGTCGTTTCGATAGGGTTCTCGAGGCCTGAATCTGCAAAAGGCGAATCACGAGGCAGTTTGGTTTTCGAGGCGCAAAAGCCCATATGGATTTCACCCTGAACCCTCCACCCTAAGAAAATGCTCAGTAGGACTGAATCCGGCGTGTCCCTCTACAGGAGGAAAATTCAAATATAGTACAAGATAGTCTGGGGACGATGTTTGTTGGTTTTGTTTTTAGCATATTGGGGTATATCTGTTCTGAATACTGTTAACTTGTCGCTCAACATCCACCTCCATGGGGGACACGCCTGACCGGAATCCAGGAGGCCTCGACACCCACCTCCAAGGCCTGGTGAGCTGGCCCGCGCGTTCTGGCGCGCCGGCTCCGCAGCTGCTTGCATGAGAGGTTCGAGGCGGTGGCTCGCGCTGCCCTCACGGGGAGCAGAGAGCAGAGAGCAGGGGGATCCTACGGGGAATCCTATGGGAATCCTAGGGGAACCCTATGGGAGTCGTATGGGAATCCTAGGGCATCCGATGGGAACCCTAGGGAATTCGAAGGGAATCCTAGGGCATCCTAGGGGAAGCCTATGGAAATCCGATGGGGATCCGAGGGGAATCCTAGGAAATCCGATGGGAATCCGATGGGATTCCTGTGGGAATCCTAAGGGAATTCTATGGGAATCATATGGGAATCCGATGGGGGTCCTATGGGAATCCTATGGGAATCCTAGGGGATCCTTTTGGCGAGGAGGAGGCGCAGGCCATGACGCCTCCTGGAAGGCCAGAGGCCGACTTGCGGAGGTCCCGTGGACCAAGGACCGGCCAGCCTGCGAGCGCAGGTGGCTGAGGCAGACAGGCCCGCCAGCCGCAGGAGGCGCAGGCCATGACGCCTCCCTTGAAGGCCCGAGGCCGACCCGGAGGTCCTGTGGACCAAGGATTAGCCAGCTTTTGCGAGCGCAGGTGGCCGGGGCAGAGAGGCCCGCAAGCCCCCGCGCCTGGCCTTAAGTCGGGCCTGTCCCTCTACAGGAGGAGTATTTGAAATTATTCCAAACATGATCTGGGGATGATGTTAATTATTTCTTGAATTCTGTTGAAAGAATATGTATACATATATATATATATATATGTGCATACACATACACACATACATACAGACAGACAGACAGGCAGGCAGACAGACAGACAGACCGACAGATATATATATATATACATATATATATACATACATACATACATACATACATACATACATACATACATACATACATACATACATACATACATACATACATATACACATACACGTACACAAATACAAACACATACACATACACATACACATACACATACATACATACATGCATACATACATGCGTACGTCCATACATACATGCATGCATGCATACATACATACATACATGCATACATACATACATACATACACACATACATACGTACCTACATACATACATACATACATACAGACATGCATGCATGCATGCATGCATGCATACATATATATACACCTATATACATACATATATACATGCATACATACATACCTACCTATCTACATACATACATACATACCTACATACATACCTACATACATTCATACGTACATGCATGCATGCATACATACATACATACGTACATACATACATACATACATGCATACATACACATGCATGCATGCATACATGCATACATGCATACATGCATACATGCATACATGCATACATGCATACATGCATACAGACAGACAGACAGACAGACAGACAGACAGACAGACAGACAGACAGACAGACAGACATACACACACACACACACACACATAGATTATGGGATATGTTTGATTCTTCGTCCAAAATCCGCCTGTAGGGGGACATTCCCGACCTAAGCCTAGCCCTCGACGTCCGAGTCCACGCAATTGGCCGTTCCGGAGAATCCGGGACGGGCGGGACGACGACGGGTGTAGGGTGGAGTGAGCGGGGAAAGAGAACCAAACGAGTGGCCTCCCTTCAGGGGGAGGCTGCATATGGATGGGCTCACCCGTCTTAGGGCGCTTGGACTGCACAACGGCTCTGATTGGCCAACGTCGGCGCAACTTTGGACGGGCATTTACACTTGAGGGACAGATTGCGGAGCTTGCCGAGGCTGCCGTGGGCTCCACAGAGCTTGCAGCAGTAGACGGACCCGTGGCAGAGGACATCATGCCCGAGCTCCTTGAAAGGGGCAAACTCCAGTATGGTCATTGGTCCCGTTGTCCGACAAGGGCGTGGGGGGCCTTGGACCGACAACGGATCAAAAGTCAATCCTCACAGGCCATCTGCACAGCCTCTGAGCGCACAACCGAAAATTAGACCCTGAGGCTCGGAACCGCTGGTCACAAGCAAGATTCTGCATGGGAGAGGGAAGACAATGCCTGATATCTCTGCCGGTGATGCGGCCGTTCAGGGAGACGGTTGCGCGAGCGAACTTGCCGCACGGTCTACACTTCCGTTCACCTACAGCATTGTTGTGCCAGAACTCGTGGTTGGCGACCTGGATGCTGAAAGGAGGGGGGGGCGATGGAGCGAAGAGGGCGATCGGAATCCAAGGCCGCTCTCTGCTTGGCTTCCATCATCCTCTGGGCCGCCTTGCGATCAAGCAAATCGTGGACGTGTGGCAGCTGAGCTCCCCGAAATGACTTTGCAGAAGTCCTCAGCCAGCGAATGCGACAGGCCCCTAACTTTGTGAAAAAAAACAGCCCACGGGTTCCCCGCCCACATTTTGACACACAAGCCCCAGTCCAACACGTCATCCAAACTCAGATGGGCGGTGCACCATCGGAATTGGGGGCGGCCCTCCAGCCTGAGGGCGTAAGTGCTGTCCCTGATGGCGGCGTGCCTGGACAGCCCTCGAGCCAGCTCGGGGTTCCATGCGCTACCTTCTCGGACAAGGGCCGTGAGACTTGAGAAAACTAGTTGCGTTCCAGGGTGCCAGTGGGAAGCTTGTCTGTCCGCCCAACGCTCGGCTCGACCGACGGTCTGTCGGGCCCTTGGCAAGGGCCCGAAAATAGCGCGACGTGGCAAGCGGCTGTTCAACAATTGGACATCGGCCAATCCAGCACGCGTAACTTCTGGAATATTGGATTGCAAGCAACTGCCATCCAGAAAAACCTCAGGCCCCCAGTACCTTTAGAGTCCCCGAACTCGAGCACCTTGGGGCTATCAGTAGGAGGCTTGGGGAGGTCCACCGAGAGAACAGCTCATGTAGGTGGTATCCACATGAGGGACCCCGCACACATCTAAAGCAGCTTGATGGTCGGCACCCCTATGGTTTAACGATCAGGAACCTCATACGACCCTTACTCACATGCCAGACGTGTCCGTAGTTCCCGCGTGGCTCATCGCAGACCAGGCGGTTGGCGGGAAGGAGGACCACATTGGCCCAGACCGCAGAGAGAGCTCCCCGTTGGTTAGGACACGCCGCTGCCTTGATACCGATCCTGAGGGCCTTTGCCAGACCTTCTCGCACCCATCGGAGCGCCGCATGTGGGACAATATCCTGGAGAGCTGCCATCACTGAATACCTTGATCGAGCTCGAGCTTGACGTCATACGGCGAGCAAGGAGATGGCAACACCCTCGTCCGTGGCCAGCTTGCGGGCGTTGGCCGTATATAGACAAACCAACCCTGAGCACAGAGAACCAGGCCGTAGAAAGTGGGCCCGTTGCCTGCTGCCAGGTCGGATTCTCCGCCAACGCGTCCCTCAAAATTGCCCAGGCCCTCTGGGCCCTGCCCAACACCACCCTGTCGTCCTAGACGAGCGAAGCGCACTTACGAACCACCCCGAGCGTGCAATCGTAGATCGGGTCGCGCATGGGATCGGGGTTGACAATGGGAAACGCGGTGATGCCCCCGCGCATCGTGGCACCAGCGATGGTGGTTGCAAACTGCCTGGGGTAGCGAAGCGCGGTGCACAACATGCTAGAAAGTGCGCCCCCGTGGCTGGCTGGGGACAAAGCTCCAGCCCCCCAGAACCTCGCGCGACCCGTCGTCCCACCGCATGCTTCAGGGCAACGTGTTTCCTGTTGCGCTGCTCGATGGCCTGCACCCTCTTCTTCCCTTGCGTGCGCCATCCAACCAGGGATCCTGTCCTCCTTCTGCTCCTGCTCCTCCTGCTCCTGCTCCTGCTCCTCCTCCTCCTCCTCCTCCTCCCCCTCCTCCTGCCCTGCCACCAGCCATCTCATGTCCCAAGGTTCTCATCCATCCTCTGGCGGGCAGCCCTGGACGGGGCCGCCGCGCGGGCGCCAAGCACTGCGGACATCTTGCGCCATGAAGCTCGGCCAGGCGTCTTGACCTGCGCGCGCAGCCCTGCGCTGCCGGCATCGCGCGCCAAGGTCCGGCAGCCTGCTCTAAGAACCTGATGACGGCAGCCGATGGCGAAACCAGGTGGATGGAGAACATCGCCCACCAAAGCTCTGGGTGCGATGCACGGAGGGATGCACTGATTCTCTGCAAGGCGCGAAGAGTCGAAAGAAACAGCATTCGGGTCGCGTGGTTGCACCCCGCGAGGATACCTTGATGCGCCGCGAAGTGCCGCAAGAGGCTGCCGAAGGCTTTGAGATGACGCGGACGTCTGTACAAACCCACGCGCATCCATGCCAAGCGGCAAGGAAACGAAAAGGCTTCGGCCTCGTCAAGCAGCTGCTCTGAGTG